GACAGTGACAGAGATGCTGCTTCTTCATGCACGAGAGCATGTCAGGGGATGCGCGCAGAGTGGTAAAATAATAGTTAATTATTGATTACTAATTTGAATCAGTACATTACAATGAAAACAATAGCTTAAAAACCGGTAAACTCCTGTAAACGTTTCAGTCCAAGGATCCAGTAAACGAATGCGTTCAAACAGTAAATTCAAAACAGCTCTAATACAGAGAAAACCCAACCGATTTCATCAGAGATTGTGGAGAGTCGAGTCCAGATGTCAGTAAATTATTATTTTCAGCGTGTATTTGGTTTAAAAGCACGAGTGTTATACTGGATGGTGACTGAAGGTGTTTTAGATTATGCGCTGGTCTAGTTATTCTGAATGGATCGTATAGTAGCATGTACAGTAAGATCAAGACAGCAGGTTTAGTGGTCTTTTGGCGTCTCCCTGTGGTCCTATTTGATATCGCAGCTTGACTGGTGCTTATTTATATTAAAAAGGTGGTGGGGATGGGGGGATGAATTCTGGATAAATTGATAGTCACGACATTATTCTCATATGAACAGACAACTAAACAAAATAGCATGTAATGTACTAGAGGTTCTGACAAAATGTTAATTGCTGCAGTCTATTTTTATTTTTTGATTTGAATTATTGCAAAATCTGCACCTCTTCTGTGGCAAATTTTAATTTCATAATGATTCTTACTCCATGAAGTCAAGCAGCAGAAGTTAAGTGACAATATGCAAATACTACTGGCCCATTTTGGGGTGAACTAAATATACAAGACTAGTTTTACACGTCACCGTTTATAACACATGTCATGGGGCATAAATTAAGAGTATACCTACTTCTCCAGGCACCACTACACCACTGGTAGCATTCAGTTCACTACATGTTATGAATGGCACTATGAGTAAACCGTCATCTTAGACCTGCTCTGTATTGTAACATATCCTCCAGCACAAAGTATATAATTCTCTTGCATTCAGGTCTTTCTGCTCTTTCATAGAGCCAGATTACTTAGGCACTTATTCATTGTTCCTGTGAAATCTCACTCCTATTCCTCCAGCAGAGTGGTATAAATTTGAAAATATTTCTCTTCAAAACAGTCACTTTTCTGTTCAGCATCCAGGTACAATGCCACTTGCGTTACCAGAGAAATGTGCAAATGCTGGTATTTCTCTTCATTATGGAAAATAGGTCGACCGCTTCCCTCTAGGTATGTAAAGGGTGAATGAAAAGCCAGCACATTCAAATGTTAGTCATACACCTTTCATGATTGTGTGTGCATCTGTTTGTTGCCGACATATTAACTATATATTTAAAGTTTGCTCTTGAACTTCTTCATGTCACCAGATAAAGTAAAATCTAAATGATCAATATCAGCCAATGTTAGGTATGCTAAATGCAATATTTAGCAAATCTCAAAATGAAAATATATATTTAAAAACAAATTCACATAACATTTAAACAAATAATTTTTATTGTTGTAATGTTAATTTATTTACAAAAAACAGTATACAATTTTAATATTGTGTATTTAATGGTTATCATACTTAGCATTAAAATAACTGGCTTATTGTTATCGCCAGGATTTTAATATTGCTGCAAGCTCAATTTCACGTGTCATTGCTTTCCGAAATATGCCAGACCATAATTCATACCACAATGAAAGTACATACTTCATTCTCAGCGTTGCTTATGGTGCTATAACAGTTATCATAAAAAAAATTAAATATAAAAAAAGGGCCCAATGGCCACAAAAGGGCACCATAAAATGACAAATGGAACATCTCAGTTTCATGAGCTTCAAAGACACACACAACCACCATCACAAGCATGCAAGATGCATTTAAGTGTACGATTTGGGATGTCTATCATTTATAGCTTTGTTTTTTGGCCATCTAATCAAATATGGCATTAAAGGAATGGTTCACCCAAAAATTATAATTCTGTCATCATTTACTCACCCTCATGTCGTTCCTAACCTGTATGACTTTCTTTCATCTTCAGACTTTCTTTCGTCTGAATGCAGATGCTTCCAGCAACACAATTTGTGTAGGGATGCACAAATTTTAGTTACATATCAGTTCCTGACTTCTAATATCGGCCAATGATAGAAATTTAATTGGGCACGCTGAATGCAATGTTTAGCAAATCTCAAAATGAAAACATATTATAATTCTGTCATCATTTACTCATCCTCATCCAAACAAGACTTTCTTTCTTTTGTGGAACACAATATTTTTTCTTCTTAATTTTATTTAAATGTTCTTGAGTTATATGTATGTAAGCATCTATATATGTACCCAGAGCTCCTGGAAACCACAACAAATTCCTTGTGTTTACGCACACTTGGCGAATAAAGCTCATTCTGATTTTGATTCTGATATTTTGAAGAATGTAGGTAATCAAACTATTTGGTGACCTTTGTTTTCACTTCTATAGAGAAAAAAACCCTGACATTTGTCA